TTTTTTTTGGAATCTCTAGATAAAGATAACAAGAAGTTCCTTCATTGTCATTTGGTGTAAGGGGATCAAGATTTATTGTGAAAGGTGGGGTTTTGTTAAGATCAAAACTAGAGTCATCATCACTATCTACTTCAACAATTTATCTTTTGTCTTGAAAAACAATAGACAGCCATCAATTTATTGGATCAGTCACATAAAACACCTATTTTGCTTGATTTGTTAAAATGAAGGGTTTATCAATGTGACCTACCCTATCAAGATCCATTAAGGTAAATCTATAAATCTTGTCTATTTGGATGCCACTTCTATAAGCCCACTTACATTTGAAACAACAATTTTGAATTTGGTGTAGTTAATCTCCCAAATCTCTTCAATAATGCCATAATAAGGCGTGAGTGCCCATTTTGGGTTTTTATCTTTCAAATTAAAAAAATGCTGAGCTTCAGCCACCAACATCACTTCACTATTTTGCACAGTACTTTTTTTTGTTTTAGGCTTTTGTATAGAATGAATGTCTATTTTTGTGAAACTCACCCTAACATTCAACCTCAAAACAATGCCCATCAGCTAATCATTTTATCGTATCAGACATATTGGCCTCGTTGTAAACCTTTTCCTTGAACCACTTGATGAATGTCTTGTTATGTTCATTCGCTAGTTACATATCGTTCTTTTTTGAGTTTTTGTCCTTCAACATTTTCTTATGGGCATCTAAGTAACACTGGACTTCGTTTATGTTATTCAAGATGTAAAGATAATGTTGTAATACCTCTTTATAGTACATACTCTTTACTCTGATCCCTTGTGTTCCCTTACCTATGAGACTAGTCTCCTCAAAATATTCCACTCCATTCTCATATTCTTCACTTGTTCTTCTAGCATTAATCCAACTATGATCCATTGTTTAACTACCTAATTAATCAACATAAACAATATTATATTTAAAATTTTCCTAACTTAATTTCAAAGATTTTAAGTAGAATTTCCCCTTAAAATAGGACCTCCTAAATTTTCAACAAAAAATAAAATTCAACTTAGATCTCAACAATGATGAAGATAAAATCAAACTCACAAGCCATTACTATATTTTATATATATATATATATATATTGTAAATGTTAAAAAAAATTGGCAGAGTTTCCCCTAAAATTAAGACCTCTTAAAATTTCAACAACAATCAAGTTTAACTCAAATTTCAAGCAATTTGAAAATTTAAGTAAATATAAACAAAATTAAACAAATAACAATTTCTATATACAGGTATAAATTCCATTATCATTAAGGCATGCCTGTATCTTTTTATACTTCATACATATTGGGCATAAGATCTTCTTTGCATCATAATAATGATTTGGTAGTAAATTGCCTTTTGGAAATATTACTTGAAACAACTCTGGCAATCATGTAAAACTCTTGTCACTCCACCCAGCTTTTTCCTTCAAGGTAACCAATTTTAATACCCCAAACAACAAATTGAAATTAGTACATCTTGAGTATAGAGGCTTCTCCATGTTAGTGCATAAGTTTTCATTCATATGTTCTTTCTTAAAGGCCTCTTCTCTAACATTATGGATCATGGATCATGTCTTCTAACTGATTTTTGTCCATATCTACTTCATCATCAATATTATCAACTGCCACATATTGAGACGTACTACTAGGATTCAATCATTCACCATGCCAAATCCACACTGTATAATTCTTGCAAATCCCATCAACTCTCTTATTTGGGCAACGTCTAATCTCCTCTCATTCAAACAATCAACACAAGGACAATAGAAACTCCTACTATTGCCAACACCATTTTTCTTAGCAAATTTCAAAAACTCCTTAACCCCATTATCATACTCAGCACTTGTTTGTCTAGCATTTATCTAACTACAATCTATATGTCACTACCTAAAGAAGAATACAACTAATGTGCATGTATTACCTTCAAATTATTTCAAATATATAAAATCTCAAATCACCTAAGATTTTAAGTAATTTAAGGAAAAGAATAAAGTTAAAAAAATTTTGGTAGAGTTTTCCCTAAAAATTAGACCTCCCAAAATTTTTAAAAAACTTTACAAGAGAAAATTCATCATTTTTTACTAAATAAATGATCACAAGCAGTAACATAAAGCTTAACAGCAGTTCCAGTAATAATCAATGTAAAAAACAAATAAGTTTTAAAGAATTATTACACTCAACTATCATAACAACTATCTAATCAAAGAATTAATAAAAATAATACCATCAAATTAAAATTAAAATTAAATTAAATTGATTGTAATTAAATCCAATCATATATATATATATATATATATTAAAAATTACAAATGAAAAGAGAGAGAGAGAGAGAGTTGAGAGCATACTGAAAATATATTCAAAAATGGGTAGAGTGTGAAGGGGGCGATAGGGAGGAGTCGGAGGGGGAGGAAGGCTAACGGATGGGGGAGGGGGGCCGACAGACTTTGGGGAGGGGAAAGAGGCTATGGGAATGGGAGTAGGAGGGGGGCCGATGAAGTTAGGGGAAGGGGAAGAGGCTGAAGGGGAGAGGGGGAAGGGGCTGACTAGTGGCGAGGGGGAAAGAGGGTCGATGGCAACAGCAAGGGGAGGGGGTTGACAGCGGGGTCAAGCTGAGAAATAGGAACAGAATAAGGAGGAGGTAATGGCAAGGGAGAAAATGGTAAAGAAGACGAACAATTGTGAGACAGAAAACAAAAACTATCAATTGGGATTTAAGTGTTTTGAAGATCTTTTTACATCAGGTGTAATAGACACCTAATGTAAAAAGTTTGAGTTTTTTTTATTTTAAAAATTACTTTCTACATTAAGTGGTACATCCGATATACATAATACCTAATGTAAAAGGTTTATTTATTTATTTTATTTATCAAAAACTTTCTACATCGGGTAAGGACTACACCACCCAATGTAGAAAGTTAATATTTTACATCGGTTTACTGTTGGAACTGACGTAAAATAGTTATAATTTTTTTATTTTTTTAAATTCTTTCTACATTGGTTTTACCATGAACCAAGTAAAAAGTATATTTTTTACATTGATTCTTTCTTGTCAGATGTAAAAAGTGACACATAAACTACAAATATTATGAAAATGCCACCGCCAAGACTTTTTAGATTGTCTGCCTTCCAACCAATATAAAAAGTCCCATGTAAATTACATATTTTGTACTAGTGTATGTACATGAATTGAGTATCTTGAAGATGTAAGTTAGTGTTAAAGAGAGAAACCATGATGCTACGTCAAGGATAGTAGATGGCTTGCGACTTGAGCTAAGAGATAAGCTTGACTTGTACACCTTTGTGGCCAAGAAAGAGCTAGTTCATAAAGCCATTAAATGGGAGCAGAGGTACAAAGCCAAACATTCCAAGTCTTCATCTTGGAAAGATTCCAAAGCAACCTTCAAGTGGAAGGATTCCAAGGCCAATAAGGACAAAATGGAATCTAAGGCTAAGGAAGAATCAAAGCCAAATAATGAGGGTAAAATTTCTAGTTCAAAATCTTCTTCTTCTTTTTCTTCTAACACTGCTTCTATGAACTGTTTTAAGTGCAAAGGTGTGGGACACATGGTGAAGGATTGTAGCAATAAAAGAGCTATGGTCTTAAGAGATGGTGGCTATGAAAGGCAATATGCAATCTTTTTTTCTCAAATTGCCAAACCAAAACTAAAAACTCAATGTTTAGAAAAAACACTGTGGGAATTTCTTCACAATGTTATGTTATCTAAATTTTTAAATATTAAGGGTAAAAGACCAAATAGGACCCTAAATTATAGATCCAGGAGTATTTAGGACCCTAAACTTATTTTTTATGCAATATTTTCCTTCAGCTTTTGAAAATAGTGCAATCTTGCCCTTACTGTTAATAAAAATTAACTTTGACTGTTAGTTGACTAGAAAATAATAGAAAATAACATCAAGAATTATAGAAAAAGACCAACAAAATTACATTAAATAACCCACAAATTATATATAAGGCTACAAAAAATTACAAAAAAGGACTAAAAAATTTTATTGGTCCTTCTTTGTAATTTTTTGGGTCTTTTCTATCTTTTTCTAGCTAATTAATAGTTAAAATTAATTTTTATTAATATCATGGGCCAAATTTTAAAATTTTTAAAAGTTGAAAGGGAATATTATATAAAAAAATGAATTTATGGTCTCAGATGTTCCTGGACCTATAGTTGAAAGGCTTATTTGCTCTGTTACCCAAATATTAATTACATCGTACCTTGTGAGAACCCATATCATTTTTCACCCTAAAGATAATAGATGCTGCTTGACCATTTTGGAAACTTAGAAAATCCAATCAAACACATCTTTGTTTACCAAATTCTTGAGTCCAAGTAAGCAAGTCGTCAAGAGCAAGGGACAACCACATGTCACAATTCTATTTTCCATGTACTCTTCATATATCAAGATGTAACCTTGTTTGCACCACTTGGCTTCAACTAGATTAGCTTCCCAGAATTGTTGAAACTATGAGTATAATGAAGACATTAGTCAAGCTAAACCTTCAAATTAAATGTATTGAAAATTTTCAAAATGTAAAGCATATTGAAAGAAAATCGTACAACTCATTTAACATATGGAACAAAGCTTGATTTTCCTACTTCAACAGTCAATAGCTCCATTTCATGAAATAGCTCTAACATCACCTGAAATATCACTTTCATGCATTGTGAAAAGTGCTCCAAAGAACTAACATCCCATCTGGGAAACAATTTGAGGTGACAACAGCACTTTAAATTTGTTAGCTGACTATAAATGATAAAAGCATTAATTGGGAAACTATATAGTTTCATAATATAATAACAAAAACTACATAATACTAATTTTAAAATTATGCATATTCTAGATCAAATATACAGAAAAATTATGCATATATATAGAGAGATTACTAGTCAATATCATTCTTAGAATTATTTAACCTGTAGACTGCTTGCATAAATAATTCAAGTTCTTCAACTGTGCCATATGCATTATATGTATCATCAACCACCATGATAAAGGAACCAAGTTGGGTCATAATTGTCCTTCCAAGCATATATAGAGGCTCAAAATTAAACCCAATATCCAAAAGTAGCTTTCAACAACTCGGTCCCTAGCATATGATATAAGAAAAATCTAACTTTTCCCACCACCTACAATACAAATATTAAGCTTGTTCTTTTAGTATGATATATGATTTTATAGAAGCAACTCATATTAATAAATTGGTCTTACTCAATGACATGGTTTAGCTCCTTCTTGTGTAGTTCCTATACAACATTAAAGTCAACAATCGCTAATTCTAACAAAGGATCATTTGGAGAAGCCTTTGCTAAATACATAGGAATGTAGTATTTGGACTGCAATCTTGGCATGCCTCTACAAAGAGGGTAGTTCAATACATGAATTACATTTGGTTCAAGGGTAGGGTTCAAGTTGCTTAGCCTTGACTTCAAGTGATAAGTAGTAAAGTGTATAGCTTTGTCAAGAACATCTTCTCCATGGATGGAAAAATGTGCAGCCTCATATAAGCTCAGCATTCCAACCACATCTTCAATCAATGACTTCTTAAAATCACCATTTTCATCTCTGAACTGATCAAATACAAAGAAAGCCTAATAGCATGTGGGTTAAGAACTTGCATAAAATACATATAGCACTACTAAACATACCAGATGGTGCACGATAACCTTGTTGCCTAAGCAAACAAAATCAGAAGGAAATGGTGTGAAGATCTTTTCCCTCAAAAGGAGTATGCTTATTCTCATGCATATTCTCTATTATCTCTCCAATCTCACTTTCAAAATGATATGATACCCATAAACATTTAATATTGTTGATCAAGTTCAATTTCTCTATAAGATCCTCAACTTGATCGAGTGTCAACTTTCGAACTTGGTTCTTCAAATGTTGTAGCCGCTGTTGGATTTCCAACTCTCCATTATGTACCATGAGAATTAACAAGAGGTTTCTTTGTCCCAAAAGGAATAAAAAAAAAAGATAACTTCAAGAATATCTTTTATTTATAGCATAAGCTGATATTAAATTAAAATATTTCTAATTTATATACACCTTCTATTCTATGTCTATCTAACATCAAACTAATTCATCTTTAACAAACATGAAGAAAATACTAGAAGCACAATAAATCAAAGGGTCTTGAAGAGTGCAATTACTAAGACAGGTGGAGGAGCTAAGGTGAACAAATGACATACCCAAATATTAGGACTAAAATTGGCGATGGGGCGTGTATGTAATTTTAGTAGTGGAACCAGGGGAAGACATTTTTTCATTTAGACCGCATAAAGTTGGGGAAGCTTATAGTGAAGCTTAGTTTTATACACCTTATGTGAATTGCTATTTATAATATTCACCATCAACTATAAAGTCACAAACAAATGAAGGAATTACAAGATGGAGATATCCCTACAAAGGAATGTGAACTTTGAATGGAGGATTCTTAACTTGATGTTAATATTTGAACAAGCCGCTATTTATAAACACATTATAAATGGACCAAGCGATCTTTATGAGGAAGCATGTCCTCTGCCCCTCATATAATGATGAAAAAAAGTCATTTTCTTTTTCCACATATAAATCGTGCTTATTAGCTTCAATTTTACCATTTCTTTTTATAAGAAAAACATATTGAATTGTAGTGTTTTGACAAAAAAGAAAGTGATATGACTTTATATATATATATATATATATATATATCTTTGTTTGCCTTGTGTTATCTATTTGTAACTTGCATGATAGGCTAAACAAAGTAAAATAAAAGAAAATGACATAATCTTATGAGTTGTGAATTGTTGGTGGTGGGATTTTGCAAGTGTGCCACAGACCTTAGATATCTCACCTATCTAAAAAAATAACCTAACTTTAATTTTGATGATTATGACTATCTAGGGGTCTCTTATTGCAGTTTCCCCAAGTTGTAAGGATAAAAAAAATAAGGAAATAAAAATTGGAAAGAAATAAAGTTTAATAAAAAATTAGTACATGAAATGGAAATTGAGATGAGCACTAGTCCTAGTCCTAGTCCTAGTCCTAGTCCTAGTGAAATTAGAAATTAAATATGTTAAAGGACCAAATATAATTGTAGAAAATATAAGGAAAATTCAAAGGGGGCTAAGCCAAAAAGAAAACTAGAGCCATAGATGGAAAACATCAAAAAGTAGAGCTATTAATTTAAATCCTCTGAAGTTGATAGTGGGAAATTTCAGTGAAGTTTGCCTTTTTAAGCAGGAAAGAGAAAATTTTAAATTTTATAAAAAATAATAAAATAAGGAAAAATATTAAAAACATAAAATTTCACTGAAATTCATCAATCTAAACTTTAAAGGATTAAATCCTACAGATGATCAATTGCATGTGGTTAAGAACATGCATAAAATGCATATAGCTAAACATACCAGATGGCACATGATAACTTTGTTACCTAATAAGCAAATGAAACCAAAAGGAAATGGTGTGAAGATCTTAGCCTTCAAAATGAGGATATGGTTCTCATGCATATTCTCTATTATCTCTCCAATTTCACTTTCAAAATGATACGATACCCCTAAATGTTTGGTATTTTCAATCAAGTTCAATTTTTCAGTAGGATCGTCCACTCAATCAAGTATCAACTTTTGAACTTGTTGGTTCTTCAAATGTTGTGGTCGTTTTTAGATTTCTGACAAGAGATTTCTTTTTCCCCCAAATGGAATAAAAGAGATAACTTCAAGAATATTTTTCATTTAATATCAAACTAATTATCTCAATTTTCACTCATACAGAAAGATTAAAAGCATGAAGAAAGCATTGAAAGCACAAGAAATGAAACGGTGTTGAAGAGTGTGATTACCAGGATAGGAGCAGGAGCAAAGCCGAACAAATGATGCATCCAGGTATTGGGACTAAAGTTGGCAAAGGGACACCTTTTTTGAGAAGTGGGACTTGACGAAGACATTTTAGGTTTACAACTTATAGAGTAGCGGATGCTTATTCTTTAGCTTATAGCTAATTTATATCATTATGTGTGATCGTTATTTATAACACACAGCATGAACTATAAAGTCATAAATTAACAAATTAAGGCAATTAAAGGATGGAGAGATTACTAGAACTTTTACTGGACGATCAACATTTGAAATTTCTTCATATGACGTTGATGTTCGAACAAATTGTTGTTTGTAAACTATGTGAGATAGATTTTATAAGAGATGGTAAGAGTATATTTCAATAATCTATTTGTAAACTAAATATCTTATCAGCCTTCTCAGATATTTGACATTCATTTATTGCGATCTTATCCCAGAGATGAAGATGTTGGTTTCTGTGGCTGCAACTTGTTCCCTAATTGGTTTACATTGGGGTGGGAGGACTTTTCAGTTAGGTCTTCCAGCCAAAAAACCATTCATTAATCTTTCTCTCGCTCTTTTATTTTATTTTTAATAGATGAAATAGAAATAAAAATATTATTTATACCTTTATAAGTTTGTTTTATTAGTTCGTAACACTATTTTATTGCTGATTTATACAGTATATATTTTGTTTTTAATCTTCTAAATTGTTTGGAAAAACATGCAACCATTTGTTTTGATTGAATTTGGTGCACTGGGCCAAGAAGCAAATACGCGAAGCCCAATTCGAAAGAGACTATAGTAGCCCAATAAGAATCACGCCCTGTGAACGTTTAACTAAGACGCAGTGTTTCATGGAGAAGCAACCTAGTCTCGCATGTCACTTCCCTTACCTTCTCGAGAAGCACGGCGCGCTCATCCTACCACCCAGCCACGTTGAGGCACACCCAATGACATTTAGAGTGGCGTGGATAGTTATTCTTCCTTCTGGCACCAAATTTCAAATTCAAAATAGCTAGGCGTTGTGATTAGAGCTATCAATTAGGGTCAGTTTGGTCCTAAAAGACCAATTCTTGAAAGGCCAGGGCCTAAACAGGCTGGCCCTAATAAGCTCGATTGCATGTCAGGATTTCATTTTATAAGACCCGGCCTTAACCCTTAGGGCTAAAGGGCCGGCCCTCAGGGTCTCGGCCCTATTTTTTAAAAATTATTTTTTTAATTAAAAATTATAAAAAATATATTTATAATCATAAAAAAGTTATTATTCATAAAATTAAGTTTAAGAAAATAAATTTAAATCAATTTACACCACAACAATAAAGAAAACTAAAACATTTAGGTCTAATATCAAATAGCAACATCAAAGTGAATACCAATAAAAATTAAACTTAGCTAATATTATCAGCTAAATCTTAATAAATAAATGAAAGATGGATGAATGTATTTAATATGTTCATTTCTTTGAGTTATGTATTTAATTTTTTATTTTTTTATATTATAATTTTTTAAAAAAATAATAAAAGGGCCTAAAAGGGCCGGCCCTTTTAAGCCCGATTTACTTTCTTAATGTTAAAATAGAAAGCCAGCCCTCAATTTTTTCGGGCCTAAAAGGGCCGGCTCTAGGGGCTCGGCCTTAATTGAAGGCTCTAGTTGTGATGAGATCTGGGATAACAACTAATTAAAATATTCAAAGTTTATTTAAAATGTTAGGATTATTCATCAGAAATATTTAAATAAAAATTTTAGCCACTAATATTAGGATTTATTATTTTATTTTATTATTATATTTAATTTGTTTACATTCAATACAATTGGATATTATTATCCTATCAGTATGTTTTTAAATTAGATTTAGATTTACTATTTTATCATTTTAGAATTCTATAAATAGATTTAGAGCTTTTATTTGTATCCAGTTTTGGCAAAATATTGAATAGAGTTTCTAAGAGGTTTTGCCCTTCTCCCTGGAGCCGCTAAATTTGAGCCAGGTTTATTTCGATCGGGTTTAAAGTATTATACCCTTTCTAAAAAGGCCATATAGCCACGCTCAACCCTAATACCTTTAGGTTTATTTGGGTTGGCCCAAATACTCAAAACTTTTTAAAATATTTTTGTTGTTGTTTGTGTCAATTTTAATTTTTAAATAATTTTGTTAAGCATAAAATAGTATTTTAACTTTAAAATAATAAAATAAAAAATAATAGGCTAAATTAAAGTATACTTTTAATTTTCTAACTTTATATGAGGTTTCAATTTGTCCTTTAATTTTGTAAAGTATCTTTTTAGTTCTTTAGCCCTAACTTTATTAGTTTCAAAAAATTATTTTTTGTATCAATCACTGCTATTTTGAAAAAAAAAATAAACTTAATATATTAACATTTGAGAATATTTAGTTAATATTTAAAAATTTAATATAAAAATTGTTTAGAATAAAATTAACAGTGTTAGTGTTAAAGGACTAAAAAAATATTTTATAAAGTTAAAGGATTAAAATAAAATATTATGTAAAGTTAAATGATTAAATATATACTTTAGCCAAAATAATAACTTATCAACTTTCTACTTAAGTAGCTCTATTATTATTTTGTTGTATTATGTGTAATATATTCATTAATGTTTCCTTTGCTCATAGATTAATGTCTTATTTGTTTAAATATTTCTTTAATCACGATCATATTTTAATATTTTATATATTTTAATTAAATTATATTATTTTAATTATAAACAAATTGATCTAGACCACTAACTAAAAATTATTACCTCAATTAGCTGAAAATTCTTAATAACTTTTGGGTAAACTTTATATTTTGTTTTTAAGAATATAAAAAAAATAGACATCATTATATTATATAAAATAAAATAATTTAATTATGAGTAAAATATTTTTTTTGAATTGTTTTTTCTTTAATTTTTTATATTATTTAATCCCTATATATAAGAGGTATTTACTTTAATTTATTCTTAATTTTTAACTAAATCTGGTGTGGACGATAACCAAATAATTATTCAAAAATATTGTTATATGTATTATATTTATCTAGTAGTAAAGCCAGAAATTTGTATATGCCTGAATTTTATTTTTAAAATTATTTTTAATTTTATTTTTACTTTAAAACTAATTATCTTATGTTATAAAAATATAAAATATATTTTTTAAAATATATAAATGATATATAGGACTTAAAAAAAATTTTAAAAAATGGCTCGTAAAATATAAAAATTAACATTAAAATATATTTTAAATGTTATTTTGAGATATTTTAAATTAATATTTTTTGAAATTAATTAGATCAACGATGCAAGTTGAAGTTACCACTTGATCACTATTATGGACGTGTTTTCTTTTTTCGTGCAATCTCAAACTTCTTAATGGCAATTTTCTCTGGAACAACCTCTCTCTCCTCGTCAATGAACTCAACAATCCATCCATGGAATTATCAGGTCGTCTTGAATTTTTGTGGAAAGGGCACCCGCAAAGGCTTCACAGGTCATGTATACACTGCTCTACAGCAAAGGGGTATCATAACCTTCATAGATGAGGAGCTCAAAAGAGGAGAGATGATTTATGATCAACTAATTCAAGAAATTGAAGAATCTCTTATCTTTGTTGTTATTCTTTCCCCAAATTATGTTTCGTCTCGTTGGTGTTTGGATGAACTTTAAAAGATTATTGAATGTAGAAAGTCTATGGCTAGAGAAGTTATCCCAATCTCTTATAAGATTGATCTATTTGGTGTTTGTTATCAAAGACGTAATTTTGCGAGTGCCTTTGAAAAACATAGCAAGAGATTTGCTGGAAACAAAGAGAAGGTGAAAAGATGGAGATATGCCTTAGAAGAAGTTGCAAATATGTGGCTATGACTCTACAAATAAGTAAGTTTTTTGCAATAGACATTGACTACCAGTTATCATATTGCTCTTTTGTCAGCTCGCCGTACAAGGATAATAAAGCATATATTTTTATGATTATTCACATATAGTACATACAATTACGGTATATTATCATTATGATTTGGTAAATATTATTTATCTTCCTCCTTTCTTCCAATGGTTTCTGATCATTTTTCAAATGATTAAGTGGGAAACAAATACTGGTACGCAAATTAGGAGAATTTGAAACCTAGTCATAATTAAACAAACAAGAACAGAATATTATAATGGTGGCTTAATGAGCCAGATGGATATATTTCCTTATATAACTAGGGTACGCAACCCTAAAATGCTTACGGCAGTGCCATGTACTGGAGGTAAATAAAGAATAGCAGACTAAAGATTTATGTACATAAAGAATGACACATACAGGCCCAAATATATTAAGCGGGCTGCTTATCTAATGGTAGTCTCGTGGGCCTTGGTAAACTGGTTGCTTTAACAGTCATTATTCACATCCCACTTCACTCTAATTGTTTAATTAAGCTTGCCTTAGGTGGCGCATAGATCTTTGCTTACACTTTATCTTCACTTCATTAAAGAAAAAGACGAGACAAAATATATAAATATAGAGCATGTTTTCAAACTAAGGTCAATTATATGTTTAGTGAGAATATGTATAAGTTCTTTTAACCTGATTATATTGCTCTTCAGGAGATCTCCTGATGTAATGTGACCTCGTAATTACTCAGGCTTTATTTTTCCTAATTTCCATGATCTTTTAATTCTTGAGGCAGCAACTTGATCATTTTCATAGTTTTGTATTTGTTTATTTGTGGAAAAATAATCTAGTGTTGGATATTGTTGATTTGGATTTGAGCCATGTAGAGCACCAATTGGAGGAAAACGTAAATTTCTCAAGGTGTTTTTTTTTTGTTTTTTTGTATTCACAAAACTTGAACTCTATATGTTACTTAATGAGTATTGAATAATTTTCACTTAGCTTGCCATAGACAATTTTTTCCTAAATTATTTTTATATCAACACGTTTTATTTGCTTGGATCACCAAGTTTAAAAATCATGAAAACATGGATTTTCTTTAGTAGTCGCTAGATTGTTATTTGATTTGGATATAATAACCCTTGATTATTCTTTCCTTCCATTTAGGCAAGAGACAAAACTCATTGAAGAAATTATTGAAGAAATATGGGCAAAGTTACAACCTAAATTACCCTATTGTTTTGGAAACGGGCTTGTGGGCATTGATTCAAGGGTAGAAGAAGTAAATTCACTTTTAAGGATTGGATTGGGTGACGTTTGCTTCACAAGAATATAGGGTATGAGTGGTATT